TGTGTGTGTGTGTTTGTGTGTGTGATATCCTTACTTTGCATCACATTAAAACCATTTGAAAGAAACAATCAAACCAAGAGTTAGAAACATTGTCTAACTGTCTGTTACTACTATGAAAAAATAAGAAGTATTTACTACTCATCCCTAACGCACATTTATTTTAAAGCAGTACTATTTTGGACAATTTAGTTTTACCTGTGCAACTGAAATTGAGCTACCACTTTTTAATTTATCGTATTATACACTACACAATGTTTTGTAAAATCACTGAGTTTACTGTAGTTCTGAAAAATAGAGAGATCGAGATTTCAATGGAATGAAATCATAATATCTCGTGGCCAACCAAGAGGAACATTATATTGTATTAATTGCTTTTCTAAAAAAAAATTTGAATGTCTTACGGTCTCTTTTTAAATATCTTGAGTAGTAATGTAGTTGTGTAATCAACACCTATAGCATGATGTATTTGTTTGATATTAGCTTTTCTCTCCCAGTGAAGAACCAGGAAACATAGCAATCTATGCCGATTTGTTTCCAATGGTTTTATACTGTTCATTGTGAAACCTTGATAAATCATTGTATAAAAATATAAATGACTGCATACTTACCGTTGTAAGCGAAATTTTTCCCAACCAGTATAGTGTTTACTTATTTTTAGTTCAAACTCGTCTTGTCCATAGAGATAATACAGTGTCGCGACTGGCTTAAGTCAAGCGTATTAAATCTATGCACAGTGAAACTCCGCCATTGAACTTAAGGAACGTCGAAGCAGTACACAATATACAAAGCCGTGTGTAGTGGAAACGGTATTGAAAAAAGAAAAAACACGCTCTTCATACACAGGTGGGGCACTCTCTTGGCTGTGTTGTGAAAGTAAGGCAATAAAGAGAGAGAGAGAGAGAGAGAGAGAGAGAGAGAGAGAGAGAGAGAGAGAGAAAGAGAGAGAGAGAGAGAGAGAGAGAGAGAGAGAGAGAGAGAGAGAGGGGGGGGGGGATAGAACTGACTATTAAAAAGGGTCTTTCACAGAGCAAGCTTTGTTCTCTCGCTGATACAGATAAAAAAGAGGTTTCATTAAAGAAACAGTTGTGTAAAGGTATATCACAGAGCAAGCTGTGTTCACTCAAAGACACAAATAGTTACAGGCCGGCATGGATTAATTAAGCATTCGGGAGGCCTGGGCCCACTTGATAGTGAGTCCCCCATTTTCAACCTCTCCTATTGCAATCATCACAGACAAGTAACCTAAATCCATATACATAGGACGATTTTAGTTAAGAGATACTACACGAGGACTATTCCTAAAGTGTTATAATATTATTTTGAATAAACACGAGATGAATATTATGAAATGCATATAAGGTGAGCTTACAAAATAATATGATCTTTACAGAGAAATTCAGTTTAAAAAATTCATAAAAAAAGAATATTATATCTAACTACTGTTTTTAACACAGAATAGGTGGATTAAAAACCCTTACAGTAAAGACACTTTTCTCGATTTTCGTGCGGCTAAGTCGCTGATGATGTCACTGAAGTCCAATTCACGCAGAAATTCTAACTTGAAGCTACTATAACATTAACATCGTATTAATATACTGGTGCGAGCCCCGTCTCTAGGTAGGTGGCATAGGACCTGGGTCTTTTAAGCTGTCCCCTTTATCTGGCCCTGAGTACAGGTTGAAATAAAAAGGGCGAAATGAAAATAAAAGCAAACCTACCAGCACTAATTAATATATATATAT